GTGAGAGAGAGAACTGGCAGCCATTAGCTCTGGAGCCCATGCTCAGGGCAGAGGAGATGAGGAGAGCACTACCCAGAGCCTGTAACAAAGAACTCCAAAGCTAAGCAAGCATGTGGGAGTTATCATTAGGGCAGAGAGGAGCCTGTGCAGGCTCTGAGGTGGGGGCTACAGTCACATTTGGCATTCAAAGCCATCCTATCCACAGAGATACAGCTCTGGAGAGACCCTGAAAGTGGGCCAGTTAACCCACCTCCACACAGCATTGCAACACAAAATGTTCCCCTGCAATTTCATTTCTGGGATAGGGATTTTGCTGCAGAAACTTCTAACACAATTCCATTTAAAGTAAATTATCAAATGTGAGTCCCTACGTGCTCCATGCCCGTGTATTTCCTAAACATACTCTGGTTATTACCATTTAAATCACAGAAGCTTCTAAGGCTGATCATTAGGCTAGACTGAACAATGGTTCCCAAAGATGTCTGGCTCCTATTCCCCAGAATGGTGATATTGGATAGTAGATGGAAGATGGTAGTGACAGACAGTGGATGATGACAGTGTTGGAGAAGGTAGATGGCAAATGGTGGATAATGATGGTGATGGTAAATGATGACGGTTATGCTAATAGTGAATTAAATGGTGACAGCAATGATGAATAATGACAGTGATGGTGATAAGTGGATGGTGATAGTGACGGTGATGGTGGTGATGATGATGATGACAATGATGGTGATGGTAATGGTGACAGTGATGTTGATGGTGATGATGATGATGGTGACGGTGATGGTGACAGTGATGTTGATGATGATGGTGACAGTGATGTTGATTATCATGGTAGCAGTGATGTTGATGATGGTGGTGATAGTGATAGTGATGATGATGGTGAAAGATGATGATGATGGTGGTGATGATGATGGTGATAGTGATGTTGATGATGATGGTGATGATGACAGTGATGGTGATGATAATGGTGATGGTGATGCTGACAGTGATGTTGATGGTGATGGTGATGATGATGGTGATGGTGATGATAGTGATAGTGATGATGGTGGTGGTGATGATGATGGTGATAGTGATGGTGATGGATGGTGATTGCATCTGGTGGAGTCTGCTGTTCGTACCTGTAGACATACCTTTTTCTCACACCACTGTGCCCACTCCTGTAGACAAACAGTACTTCCCACTGTGCTCTTCTCACATGAGTGCATCCACCTGAATTCCCACAGTCACATCTCTAGACACACCTCTCTTTTCACGCTGCACTAATACTGTACTCATTTCTCTCCCAATGCACCAGGAGATGCTTGTCTCCTCAGCTCACCACCTGGCAGCTATGCATCTTCAGTCAAGTGTCTTCCACTCTCTGAGCCTTAGTATCTACCTCTGAGAATTTGGGAAGATCACGTGACATGCTTTTAGACCCATGAACATCTGCCTGAAGCCTGGCTAATGCAGGCCAAATGGGGACCAAAGACGCCATTATTGGCAAGAGAAAACATCCCCAGAAAAAGGGGAAAATAAAAAAGCTCACCTTTGGCTTTTTGATTTCCATTTTTAGTAACACAGTGAACATGTATAGGGTCTTCCTGGGCCAGTTGTACACTTGTTTGGTTAGGAAGCTCTCAGTGTGGAAAACATTAAAAAAAAAAAAAAAAGTCCTTGATCTAGAATTGGCCATGGACAGGGCAAAGTGTCCTTAGTTCCTAATAGCAGTTAGTAAATCATATTTTAGGAAACAGATTAGCCTTCTTATCCTGAATGATTTGCAACAAATGATTCAGCTAAGAGAGCAAAACATTTCTCAGAACTATGTTTTCACTATATTTAACAGCTTAAAACTCCCCTGAAGCAGTCTGAAATCAGGGCCTATATCCTTTTCACAAATCCCAGGACCCACCCTCAATGAGCAGGATGCTATGGGTAACCAGCATGGCTGAGTCAGGCTCCATAGGCTGCCTGGAAATGTGAACACAAATAACCTTAACATTACAACTCCAAGTTTAAAACCACAACCTAAACCCCAAGTTTCACAAACAAAGGTCCACTCAGACACTTCAGTTATCCTTTTTTTTTTTTTACCATTTTCTTTTTTAAATTTATTTTTCTTACATATACATGTGTATATTAGGTTTCCACTTTTGCCTTCACAGAACTAAAAGGCTAAATTTAATGACGATAATAATATTTAACATAAGGACTGAGAACAAAAACCTCATAAAGAACAAAAGAAGATAAATACATTCAGAAAAGAAATCAGACGATTGCTGCAACAAAATATTAGGCAATAATAATAGTAATAATGAAAAGAAAGTAACATTCCCATTGTCAGATAAAAGTATGTCTAATATAGAATACCTTGATCAGTTAACTTCTTATTTTGTTTTTTCCAAAAAACGAAATTTTTGCTATTTGTATTTTGTCTTGTGTATTCTGTAACAAACAAGTAGTAAATGATTATGTATTCAAAAAAAGGAAAAGAAAATAGTGACTAATTCTCATATAAATTGTATTTAATTTTGACCAAAGTACATTACTTAAACGTTAATTTTTAATTCAACATGTTAATATGTTATCATATCGCATCCTCATTTATAAGTGAAATATGTTTGTAATTTCCCTTTTATAATAATATATTTTCTCCAATTTTAATATCAGGTGTATCCATATTAAGTAGAATGATTTTGAAGTATTTCTTTTTTATTGTCTATAAGATTTGGCATGATCTGTTTTTTTGAAATTATCTTTTA